TAAAGTTAGTTATTAAAATTATTTATTTTTAGATGTGAGATACTTTAGATGTGCCTATTGACTGTGTTTCTTTGATGCCCATCGTTAATAAATAAAAAGAATGAAATTAATATAATTAATATGATAATTAAAGTTAACGTAAGATTGAATTAATATTCCCTGCTACTAATCAAATATATTAAAGTGAATATAGATGGATACGAGATGAGATAATAATTCCATCTCTCAACTTACAAATACAATTACAATAAATTAATGAAGGAAGGTAAGCTCTCCTCTGCTGAGTTCAGCCGATTTTCCGCTAGAAATTTGTCAGCGTACAAGAACATTCGTTAGAGAAACTTGCGTAACCGCGGCCTAAAGTCGTCGAAGTGAAGACTACGACGTCCGGATATTACAACGGCAAGACGCTATTACGATGGGATTCAACTTCCCGCAATCCCGGTCGTCGAAACAGCGCGGCGACGGGGTCGTTCGCGATTCACGATCCGGCGAAGCAACGGGGCCGCATTCACGATCAAGTTTCTAACCCGTTCGCGAACTTGCGGTTACGTTTAGTTCGCCGTATACGCCAAAATTATACCACGTTTTCTCCTCTTTCTCTCTCTCGTATTGTCCGATGCATGTGCTCGTCTGATTTCTGCAGCAAGGCTTGCGGGCATCGGATGATGCACCAGCATCACCTACTGTCGATGAATCTAGTCAGTGCCGTGCCTAGATTTCTGTCAGTTCAATCACGCTCGCGCATTGACTCTTATAAAACGATTTTGTAAATTATAATTAAAATTTTTCAAAACCAAAATTGACAAAGTCATAAATTTCGATCTAAACATGAATTCATATCTATAATAATATTCAGAGATTATGACAATTCTCGTGACAGGACTCTGCTTAAAATAATGCTAAACAATTCCTTATTTATTCTTGAAAAAAAGAAAAAATGAATTTAAAAAATCTTTCTATCATTTAAGATACTAAAACATTTCACTTTAAAAGAAAGAGTACAATAAAATATTTCTTTTACATATATGTAGAATTATCGATAATTTGATATTTACTCATGTGTTTATTTTCTTAAACCGTAATTATTAACAAAACAATTTAACAAAAAAAAAAAGCCGGAAAATGTTTTTACTATGTTATAATGCAAAAAAGAAGATCGTGATTCGAAAAAAATGGAGATTAAAATTAAGTATCATATGTAAAGGACTGGATTTTAAATTTTCCGTTTTCCACAGACATATAACATTAACTATAGGTTCTAACAGTTATAGTCACAACTATGGACGTACATATGCTTATTTCCCATTAAAAGTCTATAGTCTATACTACATCCCTCTGTTTCTGACCCTTCGGCAACAGCCCCGTGCGGTATATCTCCAATAGGTGAATCTGGCATGTTTCCAAAAGACGAAAATGAGATTCCTAGTTCAACAAGCATAAGATAAGCATGCTATCCGAAAATGTCAATTAACTATGATTCGAAATAAACCAATAGTCCACATTAAGATATATACCTGTCTTATTAAAAAAAAAAAAAACTTTATTCCTGTAGGGAATAATCATAGTGCCAAGTCAATAAAAAAATTATATTTGCGTCTTTAACAGAGCAATGCGCGTCCAATAATGTTGTAAGAATTTACCACAAATTCGCACGCAAAATTTCAAATTCTGGAGGATCTGCACAAAATGGCCCACTCATTCTTGTATTTCACGCGTGGTTTGCAGATAATTTTGAATTGAAATCGACAATGGCTCGGCCTGCACTTCCGTCGATATTACCTCGCGCATTCCAATGCGTCGCGGCGAGGCGCACGCGACCCGCTTCGAGATACGCTCGTTCGAACAAGAAATTTATTTCTCGATTTCGCTCCGAGTCGCGATGAGAGTCGTGAAAAGTTACGAGGAGAATATCTGATACCAGTTCAATGTACAGGGTGTCGCCGATCGACCTAACCGATCCTTTCCGGCCTTGCAAATTAACTGATATTTATATGAATTATTGTTATGCTGATTTATTATTATTATTATTAGAGTTCATCATTATTTATTAAGCTTTAATCCTTCTACTACCGCGGAAGAATAATAAGATCATCTACACTCACACAAGATAAAATGCACTTTAAGGAATCTTATTTTTTGTGAATATGATTATCAAAATATTTATATTAATATTACGAATGTATCACAAATTACACACGTAAATAAAAGTGTCCACTACAACCAAATCTACTTCAAATTTATCGTAAGAATTTTAAATCGCTATCGTCCGTAACACGGTATATCCGAAAGTCTAAATTTATTCTTAATTAATTACATGGAAACTAAGCTACGATGCTAATAAATCATTGAGATGTTTTTGTAAAAACTGATCAAGAAAGATTATTTCGGTTCTTCTATAAATAGACTGATTCGTGTAACGCGGAACAAACTCAATTATTAATGGGCACATTAGCGACGCGAACTAACGAGAGCGTGCTTAATGAATTACTGAAATCGTATTCAGCCGGAAAACCATCTGTGGTTACGCAATGACATTAAACAAAGCGTTAATCCTTTGATGCGCTTTGGGAGTTAAAATAACTTCATGCGTCACACATAATTTTCTTGTCACGCATGCAATTTTGGAAATATTGGCTAATTAAAGTATAGTAAATATTCCAAAAGACCTATACCAGGATAATAAAGCCAATCCTGAACGTTACTTAGTTTTGAGATAATCTTGTTATTCTTTGCTGATACTGAAACTGCTTGTGTAATCTCAGAGGAATCGATAAAAAAAATTGATAAAAACAAAACTTTATTTTTCATTGATTAATTAGTTTATTTTGGAAGCATAAATAGAATATATACATATGCAACATATTATGTTGTTATTAGTTTATAGAATATATTAAAATAAATGTAAATTATTATACAAATTGGAAATTCTTTTCAGTTCTGTCGTTTATCACAAAAGAATTAAAAAAAATAAAATTTATTTAATTATAATAAAGGTGTTTGTTATTAACAAAATGTTCTTTACGCTTTATTTGCGGCGTTATTAAATTAAGATCAGACGAAATCTTTCTTGATGTAATTTTCGGCTTGAGAAACCGGTATTCAATTATAATGAAGCGAAGTCTTTCCGTAACGTGAAAGCGGATAGAGTGCATCAAAGGATTAAACAAGGCACCCTCAGGTGCGCCGAGGCATGATTTTACCAGGCGAATACGGCTGCACATGTGCTCGCGAAAACCGCCTCCGGAATAGCAGACGGGGCGGCTATACACGCTATCCATCACGAAGCTGAAGTTGAAGGATGCCCGGCTAATTACTTTGTCGCGGACACGCTCGTCAGCATATAGCCACGCCTAATCTCAAAATGTGCTGACACTCTTT